TTAGTTTCGTTTTAATGTGAATTTTTGAAAAGAATTTCATATATGGGTAAAACTAAAAATAGTTCAGGAAGTACTGGTAAAGGCAAAGCTAACAAAAAAACTGCGGATAATGGTGAGTTTATATAATAATTCATTAATTCTAGATACAAAATCAATGAAACGCGAATATTTAAATTTATTCTAGACGATGGGGAATCAAATTCTGGAAAGACCGGAAATTTAAAAGCAGCCAATAGTGTAAAGGTATGTTTTGTACTTTATTATAACGAACGTATTAAGATTTAATCTGATAATATGTGATGAATAGGTCAGACATATTTTATGTGAGAAACACTCCAAGGTAACCTAGTACAGGGGTGATCGCGTATTATATAATACATCTGATAACTAATATCTGATATCTATTTGGCTCGGTATTTAAACAAAGATTATGGAGGCTCTTGAAAAATTAACTGTGGATAACATTCGATTTGACAAGGCAAGTACTAATATCTAAAGATAGATAACATTCATCAGGAAAATTTGCAGACCGATTATAAATGATTATAATCTTAAGAATTCAAGCGAAAACATTCCCCAGCCGACTTTGATCGTTTAAGAATAATTACGAATTAGAATAGTACCGATTATAATTTAATAAAATTTATAGCGAATATAAACACCTCATCGAATATGATCGAGTTTTAATCGATTTCAATCGATATAAAAAATAATCCTTTATAATCGCTTACAAGATTTAATTCGAATTATTTCATTTAATCGATTATAATCGATATAAATCGATTTTAGTCAATTTGCTTTTTATTCGATTATACTATACCCAGGCGATGTTAATCGCTTGAACATAATCGATTAGTTGTTTGTAATCTGTTTATTAAATTTCCTGATGTTAATCAATTTGATCATATAGGTTGCAGAGGAATATAGCGAAGACAAAGCAAAGCAAGGAGGTAATTATTTTTATAGAGGTTCAATAATCCTTTTTATCAACATTGCTGACTCAAATATATAGGGAGTCTTGGATGGATGGTCCGTGGATCGATGGTAGGAGCATTCCAAGAGGCCGCGTTCGCATTACAACCAAGCTCATTGGGTAATTATTTTATTTAAGAACGAGTTATCACGAGTTATCATTGTAACTAATATTACTTTTATTACCATTATGACTAAATTCAGATAAACCAATATTTACAAATCCACCTGTAAGTTCGATTTCACAATAAATTACGAATTTTATCGTTTAACTAATTAGCATGTTTCTTCCATATTTTAACTTATAGATAAAAACACAATTTGGCTATCATATAATCATGGTGGTAAGTTTAAAATACTATTTTTTTTTTATTTGATTTTTATTATATATGAACTGAAGTTGTCAAATAAACCTGCAGGAAGGCCGGAAATAGTTGTCCTATAATTATAACAATATAAATTATGCTAGGATGCATATACAAAGTCAATTATAAGTCCATTTATTTGATGGTATCAAATATAAATAATAATTTTAATGTAACTATTTAATAATAAACATATTAAAAATAGCCAGGCAAAATGTATTCTAGTTTTTTAATAACTTCTTCATTCCTAACTTGCTTATTAGTAATACAAGATCCTTTCATAACTTCTTTCATTTCTTTAAACTTTCCTTCAGCTAACGCCTTCTCTAAGTCTGGTAATATTTCTGCTAATATTTTTATCGCACTAGCTGCATTTCGAGTTAAATTTGAAATTACCACATCGACAGTAACTGATTCTTCATCTTGCTTCCAACAATCATAATCGGTTGACATACATATCATTTGATAAGCAATTTCAGCTTCTCTTGCTAATTTTGCTTCGGGCAATGCTGACATATTAATAACGTCACATCCCCAATTGCGATATAGGAGTGATTCAGCTCTTGTACTAAATGCAGGCCCTTCGATGCATACAACTGTTTTGTCACGATGTAAAGTGACGCCTGCTCCAAGACAATGTCGATGAGAATAAATAATTTCGGCAAGCAATGGATTAAAAGGATCAGCGAATGGTGTATGAGCTACGATTCCACCTTCAAAATAAGTAGAAGGTCGAATTCCTTTTGTTCGATCTATAATTTGATTTGGAAGAATAAAATCTCGATGCTTGATTTCTTCTCGAAGAGATCCAACAGCTGAAAAGGCGATAATAATTTCCACGCCGATATGTTTTAAAGCAGCTATATTTGCCCTTGACGGCACTTCAGAAGGGTTGTACTGATGTCCATGACCATGTCGAGAGAGAAAAGCGATTTGAGTACCGCGAGAGTCCTCAACTATTCTAATTTTATTGCTAGGATAACCCCATGGCTTAAATTACAAAATTTCGGTAAATTCAAAGTTTGACGTTTGTAAAACAAAAGTAAAAATCAACAACACTCACAGTTTCCGGATAAATTTCTTTTATTGGTGTTAAATGGTCAAAATCATAAAGTCCACTACCACCAATAACAGCAATTTTTACAGCTTTCGTATTATCCATTTTAAACCATAACGATAATGAAAGTCAAATATTATTATCGTCATCATCTATTACTGTATTAATCACGTGACATTACCATATTTAAAAACGGTGAATCTACGGACAGTTCTTAGGGACAGTGCTATGTGACTGACATTACCAATGTACACCTACTCTAACCCTAACCCTAAATCTAATTCTGGTCATTGCACTGTCCCTAAGAACTGTCCGTAGATCGTCCGATTTAAAAATGCTATCTCCGAGTATCGGTATCATTCTCGCTATTCTTAAAATATGGCTGTTAAAAATAAACCCGGATCTTCAAATTCAAATCCAACGAACTTGATAACAGGAACCACTGTTTTACCTATTGCTCGCGTAAAACGCATTATTAAAGAAGATGACGACGTAACGATGTGCGCTGCTGACGCGACATTCGTAATAGCCGTTGCGGCGGTAATTTAATTTAAAAAAGTATAAACATTTGGTAAATTCCACAATATTAATATACTATTTACGTTTCTTTCAGGAGCTTTTTATAGGCCATTTCGTAAAACAAGGTTTAGAACAAGCAAATGCTGAAAGTAGAAACAAAGTTCTTTATCAAGATTTGGGTTAGAATTTTTATATGATTATCATTTATTAGCAAAATAGAATAACAAATCAGTCTTTATATACCACTAAATAAATTATTATTATTGTAGCCAACGCAGTGAAGGATCACGAATATTTAGAGTTCTTGCAAGGTAAATATATATAATAAAAGGTATATCGATTTTTAAACCTGGTTGTTAAAAGATTTCAAATTGTCTAGAGATTGTTCCGCAGACTTGTAAATTCGAAAAAGCCTTTAAAACATATAACGATGCTATGAAGCAAAACAATTCCACTAGGACACTTGATAAAACAAATAGTGCTTATAATAGTGAAGAATCAAGTGATGATAATTGCGAAGGAAATGGTACTAATATTGGTCGTCATGATAATGAAGAGGGTCCAAGCAATGACGATCTAGATATGGTTTATGAAAGTGGTCAAGATATGAGCGAAAGTAATACTGATGATGATGATGATGATCTTGACTCAGCAGAAGAGAATGATGTTAATAGTGATGATATCAGTGAGAATGTTGGGGGCAGTTCTCCGATTCATAATGGCAATAATAATGTGAATGGAACTTCTGACAGTGAACTCAGTGATGCCCCTACCTCGAGTAACGAAAATGGCTCGGTGCAGTTTTAAATGATCTATTAAACCCAAATAAGGGTTCTAAGCCGGTTTACAAATTCCTATCCGTGACCCGTCGAGTCAATCATCTTTCCCAACCGGGTACCCGAAACTAAAACCGGCTACCCGATTAAAAACAGGTCACTCGGTTATAATCGGTTGACCCAGATAACTGTGATAACCAACCAATCAAATTACATTTCTTAAAAGCGCGTAATTGAAATATTTTAATAGTAAAAAATATTAAACATTTAAAAACTTTTTATACATGACTTGGAAATTTTTACCATCAATAGAGTATTCAGAGATCGCTCAAGTAACTTTGCCATGGATCTTCGTTCTTGGCATAAAGAATTGTTATTTAAAAAAAAATAATAATAATAAATATTCGGGAGGCTCAAATAATAATTGCAGATACCATCTCAGCTATTATAAAACTGATCGATTCTGGGTTGACGCTTTTCTATATTTAATTGGTTACGAGAATGATAGAAGTAGCTGAAGTTGTTGCCTCACTAGGCTGTGTTCGAAGAATAGTAGCATTTGTTTTTTTCGTGTTGGACTGCTTTTTATTTTTTCGATTTATATTTTTTGACAGTGACATTGATAAATAATATAAAGATCAATAAAGAACTGCTCAAGCATTGATTACAATTTCTATTTTAATTGATTAGCACCATTACGATCACTAACATACTAAAAAATAGCATCGAGTGAGCAAACTTCAATTACATCATAATTTGCATATGTAATGGTTGTGCGCTGTTACGATCACTAGCTACTCACAACTAGGTTATGCTTGAGAACACCAAAAATCTACAAAACATAAACCAAACTCTTAATTTATAGTTGATAAGCCCAAGCACATTGCGAAAACCGTCCGACCTTCTACTACTAAAGAACTTGGACCTATTCAAGCTAAACAGTTAGCAATGAAACTTATTTAAATCTAACGTAATAAAGCGGTTTTAGACGAAAACACTTTCAGTTACCTTCACTCTACAGTACAATTTCATGCGGACCAATAGACTATAGTATATTTTGTCTTCTAAGTAAAGTAAACCAGGAGGCGGATTCTTTTCAGATTCTTTTGCGAATATTAACATTCGTTTAATGCTAAGAATAAATTTTACGGCGATTCTTTACTCGTTTATTGACGGGTGACCCTTTTATTTGACGGATGACCCACTTATTGATGGGTAACCCGTTTATGATATTAAAACCGGTTTGTCAAAAATATGATCCGGATAGTTATCCGGGTCAGAGTTTGGAACCCTAAACCCAAATATATGATACTTTATACTATTAATGAAACGATTGAGATATAGATTCAATAATAATATCAAAGGTAACTTGTAAGATAGTCTATATTGGCAAAAATTCCAACTAAAGCAAGGTGATATTATACAAATTGCAAGAAAAAAAAAACTCAAAAGACTATTTAATTTAATATTCCATGATTGTTGAAAATGTTTCAAGTTTCCTCTGAATTTCTAAAAATTCATGTGAAAAGCTTTGTCCAAGTGAGTAATGATTTACCACTGTTAGGTATTGTGATACCATTCCGTGGATGCTTCTTGGTTCAATATCATAACTAAATTATATAATTAATAAGTTTAATATAAAGGAACGCGGAGAAGAAGATTAAAATAAAGATACGTCAAAATTACCGTTCTTCAACAGATTTCATCCATTGATTTAAAATAAACACCAACTCTTTTAGCAATAAGTAAATACCCTCTTGAGTGTTGAATGGTGTGCTCTAAACATAATAATTATTATCACTCTATTATTTTATAAAATTAATGTAAATCAATAACATCATTGATAGCTTACCCTAAATGAAAAAAGGTTATGAAAAGTATTAAAGAGATCACAAAACGCAACATTCGCTTGCTTCAAAATCCTCGCAATACAACCGGGTTCATCAATACGTTTCATAATTAAATACGCCGCTATTTCTCCTACGATTGTTTCTATCGGAAAATTTTTATTACATAAAAAAAATTTAAACTTTAATCGAAATAAAAAAGTATAATTCCACTATTTACCCATTGGAAACACTCGCAAATCATGTGGATAATATTTTCGCCCGGATTCTATTACTATTTCAGCGATTGGCTGAAACGAACCAGAATCTTGTGCTTTTACCGTAGCTTTTTTTTTTTTTTTTAAAAAAAAAAGAAAGAATAGAATTATAAACTACTACAAATGAAGTGTTCGATTACTGAATATATACCTTTTTGTATTATTTTTTTCCAAATTTGATTTATATCTTCGCGACTAGGCGTAACTTCTACAGCGTGTACTAAAGATAATTCTCGTTCAACTAAACCGAACGGAATGACAAAATCTTTCAAAAGCTAATAAAATTTTATATAACAATTAAAAATCACAATTATGACATTAGATAACAATTATTATTTTTTTCATACAGTTTGTGCGTCAAAGAGCTGTTGATCGAGGCGCGAAAGTAATGTTGCTTTATCTGGCTTTCCTTTTAAAGCGGCTAAATTATTATATTTGATATCTGGAATATTATCTATCTCCAGACAAATGTCATATTGAATTTGAGCAAGCTATATTAATAACAAATATTGATATTAGCACTTATATGTGACAAATATCCTTTAAACTAAATAAAAAAGTGTGAATACAGACTTCCAGGTCACAACGATATTTATGCAATGCTTCAATTACATCCCTAGTTTCGCTCAACTCTTTAGCACTTTCGGCTTGACCTACAGCATGACTTAAGTAATGTAACCGTTCTTGTAGGCCAACACCGTTTCTATAAACAAAAGCATGTAAATATTACTATTTCATCGCTATTCCCTCAACATAAAAAGTAACACCTACCCAGAATTTTTAGCAATATATTCTTTGACTTTGGCAGCTTTGAGATACTGACGATTAGTGACACAAAAATCACAGTATAAATCTAATTTTTTTCTAGTAATTGGTGACGTCAAATCGGTAGAAGAATTCAAATACTCTTCAAGAAATGGTGCAGGTGGCTATGAATAACCAATAGTTTTGTTTATCCTAAAAATTCGCTTTAAAATGCACTGATATAAATAATAGTTACTACCTGAAATAATTGTGTAATTGAATCTGCGCGCAAAAATTCGTCATATACAGCGAAAAGGAAGGTTCTATCGTTTAATGAAGTTCCCAAATTGAGAGCCTTCTGAAGCACTGGGCTAAACGATTGCGCATGACCTACGCGAATGAATGTAGATAAATTTCTGGACAATCGCTTCTTACAACAATTAAATAAAAATATTTGAATACACACGTTGAATTCCATCTACAAAAACTCCAGCATCACGTAAAGTATCAATGACAAGATCAAGAATTGAGTTACGCTTTTCAGGTACTGGATCAAAACTCTGCGCTGCTTTTAGTAAAAGCTCAATCGCCCCTATGCGATAACAAAAAAAATATTAACATTATTAAGTATCTAAAATATATTTGATATTTTTATATTTAAAGTTATATACCTTCATAAAATCCAGAATTTTTGTAATCTTGACACAGATTATTTAAAGTTCCATATGTTAAAATGTCGATGCACTCACAAAATATGCTTTGAAACAGTATATTATGTGAAATTAATACGATAAAATAAAACATGAGATTTAATTTATAATAACAAACTTTAATGAATTCCGTAAGGCTTCTTTGGTCGTGTGTTCATCTTCATTCTTCTTAGCTCTTTGTAATGCTTCGTAACCCTACGGTAAACAATAATGTGATACTCGTATATAATAAAGATTTTAAAAATTTTTATATTCATATTAATAAAAATTACCTGATACATTTTTGTTTCGGCCGCATTACAAAAAGTAGGACAGCGTAATTCTAAATTACGACTGAGATTATCAACCTAATGTGTTAGGGAAAAATGCATAATACGATACATAAATTCCTCCGTAGTTCAATAATTTCAATAATTATTAGATCATTGAATAATACTCACTCGTGGTCCACTTTCTCTTTTAATTATCGCAAGTACCAGATCATGCCAACTGCTCCTGACCTGTTGAACAGTAACCAATTGTTCGTAAGTCGATTGAAAGACGACTTGTTGTGAACTCTTTGAAATACTATATAACACACAAATAATTCCTTGAAATCGTAAGAATTATATTTTTAATAGTAATAATTCCAATAAATATCACTCACTTTGCTATAGTGTCTGGTAAATTATATTCAATCATAAGCAGTATGAAACTTATTGCATCAGAGAGAGTAACAAGTAAATCGTATAAAGAACTTAATGATGCATTTTGTGCCTGTAAAATTTATTAATATTATTATATAGCCAATAAATAGAATTTTGCTAAACATAATTGAGTTCTCATCTTACAGTTGAAGTATCACCGAGTATTTGTGGTGGTGACTTGAACATGGGATGTCTATTAAAATATTTGTGATTAATAATTTAACAAATACCTTAGTATGTTAGACATAGTACTAACTAATAAAACGGTCATCACCTGTCACAAAATGCCTTCAATTTCGTTAATTTCGAGACAATGCTTTTAAGTATTGGCTCTGGAATATGTGAATCTCGTCTATCGGGATTTGTATTGCTAGGGCTGAATGTAAATATTAATGACGAGCAATATTAACTTTTTTTTTAGCCTATGAAACTGCCCATTCATAAATAAATTATCAAAATATATGACACAGACCTTAGTTTGAGAATTTTCTGACGCCAAACTGGACGAAGTATTCTCGCCAAACAAAAAGCAAAACCCTCATATATCGTATTGTACGAGGCTGTATTGGGTGTTTTTATATAAATATGTTGATTTACATACCTAAAGAGCAAAATGGAATCATTTATAGAAAAAAGTAATTTACCTGCAAAAGTTTGCATAAATGCATGACTTTCATTACTTGCAATCAAAAGACACATTGCAGTAGTCTGTTCTGGTCCGTAGCTAGAAACAAAGATAACAATTATGTCTAGTAATTACGATAAATGTCCCAATTCGTAAATTATGAATATACATACTTTTCAATAAAGGATTTTAATGCCTCTCTATTATGACTTTTTTTAAACATATTTTCCAAATGATCAGTAGGCCGCTGTTTTGTCCAAATTACAATCCCTATTAAGGGTTAATTGAACTTTAATCAATAATTAAAGCATTTTACAAAATTACATTGGCAAGTAGAATATCCAGATATTAAATAACTAGGAATGAAACCAATTACCACTTAAAGTATATAGGATGAATTTTCGAGGTGGAGTATTAAATTGACTTATCAATTCGTTTGAATATTCATCAGATTTTTTGGAATCATATAATGGATCATAAATTTCTTGAATGTCGAAGATGCTTGGAAGAGGTGCAGTATAGCAATGCTCTGAGAAAAGTGGCTCCTGATTCTAGTATATGAAACAAGCTATAATTAAGACTTAATGCTTCATTTTGCATGAACTATCGGTTAAGATAACGTACTTGAATAAATCTACGAAACATTAAACCATAGTTGGGACTTGTGGTAGACAACATTTCTATACCACCCTCTCTACGTTGAGCAAAAAAGATGCCATGGAAATAACGAAATTTCTGATATTCCATTCTAGCTTGCTGAGGTAAGGTTGGCTGATTATGAGGTGGTGGATCGTGTACTTCAAGTATATATAAACCATTTGGCTCTTTTGTTTTTAGCATTGCAGGCGTTTCTGAATATAGCCACCAATTATACCCTCTATTTCCCATATAACAAGTAAAGTATCCGCGATGCCCTATGTATTAAACATTAATTAATGATGCCTATTTTTTACTAATGTACCAACACTATAATTAATTTTACCCGTATTTGTCACAGCGATAAGCCAGAAATAAGGCGAATCGGTGTTCAATATTGAATGTATTGACACCAAATGTCCTTTAAGCATCATAGATTTATCATCACTAATTGAATATGTTCCTATTAATTTCAGTGCAGCATCTTTTTGTATATAAAATGCCTAAAGGATTGAATAAATGATTTAATCATGTATAATTATATAATTAAATAATAATATAATAAATAATATTAATCAAGATACCTCAATACGATAAGCAGACATAACGTATAGCATATGTCGTGTGTCATCAATTGCAATAGACTTGTAGTCCGCTAAATATTATAATATGAATGTTAATGGAATTATTATTAACAAATATAGACCAACAATAATTCTCAAAATAACAAATTACATGCTCTTACAAGACGTTTGCCAGATCCATCGCAAGTGTTGACTTATTGAACTCTGAGAATGAATTTCTAATCTACATGGCTTTGAAAACCAGCCTTCATCCTAAATAAAGATTTAGGTAATTATGATATTCGAAATAATGACCACTGAATCTTGAAACAATATAATCGGAATTACCTCATAAACAAGTTCACACAGTTCACCAGCATCTAATAGGAAAATACGACCATCATCGGTACCGATTATAGAGCCAATTTCTTTCTTACTATAATCAGTTCTATATCTGTCCGATGACATATCGTGAAAAATTATCCCATCTGTACTTGTGCTGAAACCAAACACGTAAATCGCCTTGTCCGTAGCAATCACTAAGACATAATGAGCATTATCAATAAAACGACCTAGAAAATTCAAAAGTTAATAACAATAACCTGAGATTAAAATATTAAAATTTCAAAAAAAGAATTACATTACCAACTCTTGGTTTAACAAGCCCTACACTTTTTATGATTTGATCTTGCAATGGATGTACATCGATGTGAGCAATGGCATTATCATTATTTCTAGTTAGATGATATGATAACTTTAAGCCGATATTTATAAATATAACATCAATGGTGTTATGTGCGACATCGAGTTCAAAGTCGTATTAATATGAAATATGAAAGAATTAAGTAAGAATACATTACCCTTTATCATATTCCCAAATGAATAAATTGTCGTTCACCACGAAATAAACCGCGTTTATATAGGGCAAACAACCTAAAAGAACGTGAATTCCGTGTGTAGTGTCTAATGTTTAAATAATAAGGAACTATACATGCTTGAACAGTTATCAAGCTAAAAACTTCGAAATGTATTAAATAACAAGGGTTACAGTTTTATTTTTTATTTTCACATTAAGGATACTTTCAACAATTTCGCGCAATCGCGGTGGAAGTGGGATAACATTTTCTTGCCTAAAAGGAACGGTCTCGGGTATTACTTCTTTATAGCGATCCTGGCCACGATCTGCGCTTTGTCGGAAAAGCAGGCCTAGAAATCTGTTGTCGAGTGCAACTTTTGCGTTAATTACTTCTTCTTTAGCAGCCATGTGCCTATTGTGGACTTGCAGAAGTTGATTAATCTTATAAGTAGATAACGTGGTATATTATCGTTACGAATATGATATCGTACTCTTTATTGTTTATAGCCACGTGCTGTACTAGATCTCAGTGCGATGCATTATATTATTATTAGTTATATTTATTAGCTATTAGTATATTAGTACATACGTATTATTTTTTATATTTGTATTATTTTAGCATAGATATTTTATAGTATAGAAATTCGTTGAAAACATTCATTTCTAAGTGAAGTACCTCAAGAAGTGTTCAGATCGGAAAATGGTTCTAAGTAACTTTCTATATGAGAATCACGGCTACATGATTATTTAAGTTTTATTCAAAGTTATTATGTATGATACGGAGAAAACTCAAGTAACAGCTGATATAATATAATAATTATTATGCTAAATACTGTGCTAAATTATATCAAATACTTTGTTGAATACTGTGTTAAAATTGCATCAAATACTATGTCAATATTGTGTTGAACTGTGCTGAAAGACTGTACTGAACTATGCTGAGAACTGTGTCTCTTACTGTGTTTGATTATTAATAGATAACACTTAACTAGCATAAACATTTAAGTAATATTTGTATAAGATACTTGTATGACATTTTGCTAATGCTTACATAATACTTGTTAAAAGTTATAAATACAAGTAGTTTTCCTCCTCTTATCTTTTAGTTATTTAGACCTTAACTCCTCTTTCTCTCTCTTATATCTAACTCTAAATATTTATAATTAATTAATATATTTGTTATTTAATAAATCTAAATGAATTATTTTTTGTAAAATAGAACTTGTTTTTACAATTAGTTAAAAAAACTTCTTTCTTGAACACTACTTTCTAAAGTAATTAGATAGTTGTATCACTGTTACTTATAGTATACTAAGAAGGCTATATTTTTTTTTTTTTAAATTCTGCAGCCATGTCTCAACTTTATTCAAACAGCTTGCGAACAAACTTTTTACATTTAAAGTAAACTCCTAATGTGTCTGACTAGTAAGCTGAAACTCACTTGGTTACCCCAAAGGTACCTATGTACAGCGTGCTATAGTTAGTCTTTTAAATCCACACTGTCCAATTCAGTAACCCAAATCTTCTTGTGTTTCAGATGGTCCCAACAACCCAAAAAAAAAAAAAAAAATTGTTACT